CCCTAAACCCTAAAACCCTAACTTCAGACCTGTGGCGGCTCCAGGGATGCACTGGTGCAGGCGCTGCCGCTCGACACAGCCGTGGTCTTGGCCAGGGACCTCTGGTACTCTTGATGGTTTATAGGGTTTCGGGCTTATAAGGTTTAGGGTTTAGGGTTTATAGGGTTTGGGGCTAAAAGGGTTTAGGGTTTAGGCTAAATTTTAGGGTGGTAAATCCTGCATTACCTTACGGGACCTGATCAACTATTGGAATTTTGGTATATTCCTAATTATGGGGAATGCAGGATTTATATCATCAACCGTAGGATTCAGAGTCCTTTAAGGGTTACCGTTAAAGGGGTCTACAAGGGATACTGTAAGGGTTACTATAAGGGAGGGGCGAAGCAAAGGCTGCTCGGGTTTGGGGTTTAGCTCTTTGGGGGTTACGGCTATGAGGGGTTTGGGGGCTACGGTCTAGGGTGTAAGTATCGGGCCCTCAAAAAGGGGGGTGTCTAGGTTTTAAGGTTGAGGAGTTTCAGGGCTTAGGGCAGCTGCACTTTAAGCTTTAGGCGGCTTCGTACACAGTTGTTCGCGTTTTCTGGTTCGCAACCCTCATGGAACTCTAAACCCTAAACCCTAAACCCTAAACCCTAAACCCTAAACCCTAAACCCTAACACTGACGCTGGACATCCAAAGCCTCAACTCCCAAAACCCTGAGACATCCTCAGTCCCAGCTAAAGAAAACTACAGGTGAGGAGTTTAGGGTATATCGGGCTTCTATAAGGCCTCCATAAGGTATATCGACCTTCTATAAGGCTCCTATAACGGTAACTACCCACCTGAACATGTCCTAGAATTAGGGCCCCCTGTATTTAGGTCTCCAATATAGTACGGCACCCATATAGTAACAAGGACCCCCCCCTAATATAAAGAACAACCCATCTCCTTCCCTACCAAAATTTTAACAGCCCAGCAGGCTCCAGAAATTCCTTATTGTGATTCTAGTATAATATACCTCAGAACCCTATTTAAATGACTAAGGCCCCTACATTACCCAAATTTCACCCTAAACCCTAAGCCCTAAACCCTACATTACCAAAAATTCACCCTAAACCCTAAACCCTACACACCCTATACACCCTAAACCCTAAACCCTACACCCTACACCCTAAACCCTAAACCCTACACCCCAAACCCTAAACCCTACATCACCAAACTTTCGACCTCAGAAGGCTCCGGAAATTTCCATGCCCCAGCCACATCAGTCTCATAAAACCCCCAAAAAAAAACCCAAGGGTCCCTTTAAAAGTCCCTCCTCTAAACCCTAAACCCTAAACCCTAAACCCTAAACCCTAAACCTCTCTTTCATATAGCAATATAAACCTGAATGCCTTCGTGGTTTATGGCCAACAATTCGTGGTTTATGGCAAATGGCCGGTTTATGGCCAACAATTCGTGGTTTATGGCCAACAATTCGTGGTTTATGGCCAACAACGGCAAATGTGGCGGCCAGATTATGGCCAACAATTCATGGTTTATGGCCAACAATTCGTGGCTTATGGCCAACACTACGTGGTTTATGGCAAATGTGGCGGCCAGATTATGGCCAACAATTCGTGGTTTATGGC